AAATATTCCACAGTCCTCTTGGGCAAAAAACATTTGAACTTTGAATCATCATCATCAATTAATGTGGCTAATACACACTTTCCAAATCTTGAATTCATCACAGACAATGTAAAAATTAAATAGGGTTTATTTATTTCTAATGAGGTAAACTGTCGTAGATTTACTTTTTCGAAATCACCGTTAATATTACTATTAATTTTATTTAAATCTTCACTTGATAACGCCATTTTCTCTTTAAAAATATTCGTTTTATAATATCTACTTAGCAATAAACACAGTTACTGTTCTCACTTGAAAATATATGGTCACAAAACAACACAACAATTTACACTATTGTAGATGCTAACTTTAACCAAATATTAAACGAAATGTGAACTTTCTACTTTGGATCTCCTCTATTATATCGAAAATCCCTTCCACTAACCATTCGATTACATTACGTCACAATGTCACCTCACTTATTGTATGTACACTTCATACAAATCCACTTCCATAGAAATTACAGATGTCAAATGAAGGTTTCCAACGAATATGACATTCAATGTCATATAGAACATCCTCAAACTTCAAGTAATATCCAACTTCGCAGAGGTCATTCAAGGTCCCTTCCACTAACCATTCGATTACATTACGTCACAATGTCACCTCACCTATTATATGTACACTTCATACAAATCCACTTCCATAGAAATTACAGAGGTCAAATGAAGGTTTCCAACGAATATGAATTTCAATGTCATATAGGACATCCTCAAACTTTAAGTAATGTCCAACTTCGCAGAGGTCATTCAAGGTCAGTTAATATGAATTTTAACGCGTCACCGCAGGGGTCATTCAAGGTCGCCGAGGGGGTGAGGGGTGAGACGAGGGGAAAATACCCTACTGATCCTCATACTCAATTTTAATTCCTAATAATATTTTAATTTTCTGTATGACCTATTTTAATTAAATAGAAACTGTCAATCAATAACAATGTTAGCATGCCACTGACATGGCCTACCATATAACATTTTCTATGAGTAATTAGGCCTCTCACGGCCTAATTAGTGAGATTTAGTTAGAATACCTATACGAATTTTCGACCATATCAATGTCCGATATGTCAAAATATATTACAACTAAAACTGTAAATCATTACGTAATTGGAAAAAAGGCAGAAGTGCTTGAATTGGAAAAAAGGCAAAAATGCTTGAAAGAAGATATCTTATTTTCTTAATAAAAAACATTCTCTTCTTTTTTTAATAGTATCTCGCTTATTGTTAGAGTTGGACCCAACAAACCCTCTATCATGTCTATTGAAATATGTAAAAATATACAGGGTGTTCCATTTAAATTAACATAGTTAACATCCGCGGCTATTTTGTTTGGACTTTATTTGTTTTTCAAATATCATTTTTGAAAAATTCATAAAAAATTGTGCAACTTTTATATTTTACATTTTTTTGTAACTCTTAAAACAAAAAAGTTAAAGGGGGGTCAAAATATAGTGAATCATCCGGTAACTTTAAATGGAGGTCATATTTATACCGAGGCTATCTTTAACTTTTAGAAATACGTGTCATAAGATTGTTTTCTCATATTCCGTCGTGAAAACTAATTTTTTTAACCTTTTCTTTAGTAATTTTCAAACTCCGCCGCTGGTCAATAGTAATAAATAAATAAAGATAAATGATTACTTACCTGATTTTTACAACATATGGCATACTTGAAATATTTTGACTAATCTTCGAGTCCTCTTCCTTGGCGTTTAAAATTTCGTTTTTTTTTTTAAAGTTTCTCATTCTCTGAGTTTGTTCCCGTCCAACAACCGTATAAGTACATGCTTTTCATAATATTACACAGAAAACTTGAAAACGAAAACACAAAAATTAACTGTAGCGGCAATATGGTATTTTAACCGAACAGTGGAGGCTAGCCTCCGTTGCCTTTCGTAAGCGTTCGGAACAAGATCGGATCTTAAATATAAACTGTCAACGGTTGCATATACTAAAAGTAATAATAGAATAAATATCATATGATGTCTCTAGCTATGAAGACATATAAATAATCAAATTTAAACTATAAAAACTTTTGAGATTGAAAAAAAAAAAATTTTTACATGTTAATGAACTAAAAAGTGTAATGTAATTTTTCTAAAACTTGACATGTAGGACAGGCAGCCAAAATGAAAAGATACCTATTATACTATAAAGTACAAAAACAGTTTACAAATGAGTAAAAGTAGCAAAATACCAGTTGAAAGAATTATAATTTTTTTAATTTGAAAATGGTCCATAAATTATTAAAACCTTCAAGCCGCGTTCTCTCGTAAGTTGCCAACTTTTGAGTGATCGGTACTTTAGCCAACTGTGTTTAAAACATAACACAATATTACTCTCTACGAAATAAACTCCGCAGATCGCTTCGAAACTTTGCCACTGCGCATCAGATCTTCGCACCGGTCAAATGAAATAAGTTTAACTATGCTGTTGTAGGTATAACATTCTACTAAACCTAAATATCTTGGTAAATATTTGGTTACAGTATAAAGTACATATTTTGAATTAGTACTTCATACTAAGAAATAACGACGCTACAAAAGAAATAAATACTAAAAATTAACATTATTATTTCATTACCATTCTCGTAGTCGTTTCCGTTTCTTTTCAATTGAACTAAATAGTCTTTACATGTTAAAAAACAACTGAACCTTAAGCTTACTTAAGCGAAGACTGGACTGGAACACGAATCTGAAATTATCTTGAGGCAGTTTGCAATTTTTTGAAAAGTTTCACGATTCCCCTCAGTAAGGGTTTAAACTTAAACTATAACCTAATCTAAACTCTGTTGACCACTTTAAATCGAATTCTGAGGAAAATGGTGCCTGTTCGCTTTCAAACAGTGTTACATTTCAGGACATTAGGATATATCCAGAAAACTATCAAATCCTCTTCACTAATTTTCTTTTTTTTCGGTTCTTGACAAAACAGTTTTAAATTATTGTTCAGGAGGTGAAGATTAGGACGCATAACAAAAATTGTTGAGATTTCAATGTGTCCACACTATACAGGGTGTTTATTAAGTACTTTCACAAACTTTAATTTTATAATAAATTTTAATTTATAAAGATTAGATTTTTTAAGATAAAAAGTCATATGAATATGAGTCCGCAACGGCGTGGTTCTTGAGATACAGAGCCTCCGAAAAAAATTTTTTGTTTGGTATTTTGATTATATTTTTGGATTTAAATAACCATAACTTTTTTGTGTCGCACTGTATGTCATTTTTTGACTAAGCTTCTCCATTCAATTTTCGTGAAGCGTGAAGGTGCTTTTAGTATTTGTCGCTAAACAGCCATTTTGTAAAAAAAAACTGATTTAAAGTTAAACCTGCATTGGAATTTTGTAAGTTGAATCATTAAGAGTTTTTGAAAAACAAGTAAAAAAGAGTCATGTGCTATGTTACACTATCACTACAAATTACTATCACCAAATTAGTTAAAATTAGAAAAAAAACAAAAATTCGCAAAAGGCGTGTTGGATGCTCCGTATCTCAAGAACCACGCCGCGCCGTTGCGGATTCATATTCATATAAACTTTTTATCTTAAAATTAGTCAAAGATTTACCCTTTAAAGTTTGTACAAGTACTTAATAAACACCCTGTATAGTACACAATATTCATATTAAGAAACAACGACGGTGAAGAACAAATTCATTTCTCTACCCATCACCTCATTTGGTTAATCTTTCTCGTACGCGTTTCCGTTTCCCTTCAATTGAACTAAGTAGTCTTTACATGTTAGGAAACAAGTGAACTTAAGCTTACTTAAGCCGGCGCGGCGCCACGATGTGTCAAATGTTGGATCCAACGTTGGATCCAATGAAGCCAACGTTGGAATCAAAATCAGCACACTAGCATTTGATAAATGCTTCTGCCATACGGTGGGGTGAATATTGGACCCAACGGTGGAAGACAACATTCGAGGCCAGCAAAAATGATACTTAAAAGAAGTGCGATATGCCATATAGAGGTGCCTCCCTGTACTAGTGACTTCAAAAATATGAAATTTTTCATGTCAAAAAAACCCGAATCCATAATTATGTGCTTTTATGCTTTTATATTAATTTATTCAGATATTATTGGAAAAACTAGGAGATATAAATAAAACTTTGGCACCTGTTTCATTAATAGTTTATTAGTAACGAATATAAGAAACACGTTAAATACGCACGGATGGAAACTTTTCATACGATTGCAAAGAGTACAAATTGATTAATTTTTTTCTTGTTATTTGTAATTTTATAATAATAATAATAAAATATATAAACCTGCTGCGACAAGAAAACATACAACAATCACGTCACGGCAAGCATGTCAAACGCTCAGCCGCTCGTATAGCCGTTCATCGAATGTTGCTTCCAACATTGTAAGCACCCTTTGAACGGGGCCAAAAATTCCGACACTGGCCCGAACGTTCCAACGTTGGACACATGAAATTTCATCGTGTAACGCCGGCTTAAACGAAGACATTGACATGTGAACACGTAACTTTTTTTAAAGTTTCACAATTCACGTCAGTAAAGGATTAATATTAAACTTTAATGTAAGCTAAACTCTGAATTCTGAGGAAAATGATGTCTGTTCCCTTTCAAACAGTGTTAAGTTTATTTTCAGTACAAAATTAGGATACATCTAGAAACTTATCGAATCCTCTATACAAGTTTTCTTTTCTTTTTTTCGGTTTTTGATAAAACAGTACTTCGACCCAAAACAGTTTCAGATTATTGTTCAGGAGGTGAAAATTAGAACGCACAACAAAAATTGTTGAGATTTGAATCTGTGCCCACACTATATATCTTTTCATCATATTTCTCCTAGCCTCTTGCATTTCGTTGATATTTCCTTCATATTTCTTCATAATAATGTGAGTAATTCCTAGATGCTTTGCCCTTGGGCCAAATATGTTTCATTTCTTTCACTTTTGATATAGGTACTTACATATTAACATAAACTACCCTTTTATTGAACTAGATCAAAACCAATACAGTAATACAGCTAGACACAATAACATAGTTTTTACTTAATAGGTATGGGGTAACAAAATGGTATCTTCAGTATTCTGTTTGCTTCTCTGTAACCGGTTTCTACTGCTCCCTGTACTGTTCCATAATGTGTGGGGTTTGTAGCCTCGCCAGCGAACATAAGTATCGGTGAATTGTCGTAGTTATTCAAGGGTTGAGCTAAAATACTTTCTGCAGAAGTTCTATGTGCTTCTGGTGTTTGGAAGGAGTAGGTCCCCCGAAAATGGGGGTTGGTATACCATTTGGACCTAAAATAATTATTATAGCATTTATACAGGATGGCCCAACGAAAACGTAACAGAGCCCATAGCGGCTAGGAAAAACTTTTTTTGGAAAAACGCAAATACCCATCGATTTTGTTTGCGAGGGGGACATCTTTTTGCATGAATTAGATGGTTCTAACTGCTATCCCCTGAGCGGGGTAAACATCCCCTCCAAATTTTTAAATAGGAAGGGTGGTCAAGTTGCATATCGTTGAAAAGCTCTTTTGATTCTCTACACAGTCATGGGTCCCTTTTGAAAATCAACCCATTTTTTTAAAAGATAAAGGGTGCAGAACTTAACACATACAAAATTTCCTATTATCTCTACAAATTATTCTCTAATTAAAATTCGCTATCGAGTTCGCTATTAATTTCAAAATCATTAAGTTAAAGAAGCGTCTAAACATATCCAAATGGCTGGAAATAATTGACCAGCAACTTCCATTCAATAATAAATAATTTTACGTGAACTATTCTCATTACTTACTCCAACGTGTTGTTAGATTGTTTGCAGTTATTTCTTTCACAAATTCCACTAAAAACGGTATAGATAAGAGACCATTTTTCAGTCAGCGATTTTGTCGTAAAGTGGTGTTAGTGGTTTTAGTGGCTGTTTCGCATTAAATACAAAATAATTAAAAATGGTTTATTCGATGCAAGAGAGGGTGGAAATAATTGAATTATTTTATAAAAATAACGAATGTGCTTCGAGAGCAGCTCAGTTGTTTACTGAACGACATGCCAATAAACCCGTCCATCGCAAAATTGTCTTGGAGTTAGTAAGAAAATTCCGGGAGACGGGATCTGTGGGCAATAAAAAGCGAAACAATGAACGTCCTGTACGTAATGAAGCTGTGGAGGTTGCAGTTCTGGGACACGTTGCTTTAGATCATAGGCTAAGTACACGGCAATTGGCTTCTGTAAGCGGTGTAAGTCGGGGTAGTGTACAACGAATTTTAAAACATTACAAGTTCCATCCTTACAAAATTCACCTTCTCCATGAACTTCACGAAGATGACTTTGACCGCCGGGTACAATTTTGCGAGGTCATGACTGAACGGGCGATGCATAATCCAAATTTTCTTTTCAACATTTGTTTTTCCGATGAGTGCAGCTTTTTCCTAAATGGCACCGTCAACCGCCATAATTGCCGTTACTGGGCAGACTCCAATCCAAGGATATTCCACGAACAGCATACTCAACACCCAGAAAAATTAAATGTTTGGGCTGGTATCTTTGGTGATTCCCTTGTTGGTCCTTTTTTTATAAATGGTAATTTGACTGGTGATATGTATTTGGAATTGCTGCAAGAAGCCATTGATCCAGCCTTAACGGTAATTGTGGAAAACAATAATGATTACCTCGAAGATGAACTGATGTTTCAGCAAGACGGGGCTCCCCCCCCCACTATGCCCACCATGTGCGCGAATTCTTAAACCATATATTTCCGAATCGTTGGATAGGTAGGAGAGGAAAACCAAAATCTATGCCACCCAACCGGACTCTCTGAAAGATCTACGTCAACGTATCATTAATGAATGTCGTCTAGTCACTCCTGAATTGCTCCAGAATATAAAACAACGTTTTGAACAAAATCTTTATAATTGCATGGACGCAGGGAGCCAACATTTTAAACATTTACTGTAATAAATTTTCATTAATAAAATTTTTCTTTCAAAACCCTGTATCTTTTACAAAAATAGGCTGATTTTCAAAAGTGGCACATGACTGTGTAGAGAATTAAAAGAGCTTTTGAACGATATGCAACTTCACCACCCTTCCCATTTAAAAATTTGAAGGGGATATTTACCCCGCTCAGGGGATAGCAGTTAGAACCATCTAATTCATGCAAAAATATGTCCCCCTCGCAAACAAAATCGATGGGTTTTTGCGTTTTTCCAAAAAAAAATTTTCCTAGCCGCTATGGACTCTGTTACGTTTTCGTTGGGCCACCCTGTATAGAAAATAGGTTAATAGAAAATACTTGGTGCTACACAATAAAGTCACAATATGATTAAAATTGTGTTAAACTGTTTTCAAAGTAATAATAAAAATATAAAATATTAAGATAAGAATTTTAAATAAAAAACACTAAACGAATTATTAAGTTAGTTCACTATGTCTGTCTGAATAATCAGGTTATTTATTTTTTTAATTCAGTTTATGTTTTCAAAGCGATAGGCAATTTTTGGTAATGAAACAAATAGAAGTAAATAAATATAACAGGAATAAGCAAAAAAGGAGTTCATAAATTTTCAAATAATAAGGTAAGGGAGGGTAATACGACCCAGAAAACAAGTTATGCTTATTAAAAATAAACATATATTTTCAAAACAAAAAATTATATAATTATGTGAATACTAAACTATAAACTGAGAGACAAGTCTGTCATAAAATTATATCTTCACATAACTTATAGTACCAAGTCACAGAAGATGTTTTATCTTCTGTGACTAAGTCTCTTAGCAGTTCATATCTACACTTCGTGGTAAAATAGATGTTATGTTTTTTGGTTCTTCTTTTACTTTATGCGGTTTCTTTTCTCCTATTGAATTGGAAGTACAGACTCTGTTACTTCCTGGGCTTTATTACCTGTTTTACCACTGTCCCTGTTTTTTGATTTACTAATTGTATTTGTTATTCAAATACTATCGTTTTTTTAGGAAAATATCTTAATTAGAGTAGGTATTCTTGATACCGATCTGTCAAGCTCGTATATTACACAGACCGCACAAAAAAGAAAAATGGTCTATTCCAAAGACTAGACGAACTGAATCTGAATTCGAGACCAGAATTGCTTCCTTCTACTTTTTATATCGCGAAAAATCACTCTCAAATACAGAAAGTACGGAAAATATTACTTTGGGAGGGGTCAGTATTAGGTATAATTGTAGAAACTGATTGAAAATGACTGCAGGGCCATAGTTAGATATGTAGATATGGTGACGTTTCGCATTCGTTTAAAAAAATGGAGGGGATGGAGCAATTCTGGTCCCGGATTCAGATTCAGCGTGTGTAGTCTTTGAAAATTTATGGAAACTCTTTTTTTTGTGTACCTGACAGATTGGTATCAAGAATGCTTAGGTTAATTACGATATTTTCCTAAAAAATTATAATATTCTGATTCATAGGTCTAATTGGAACAGATCTCCTTTTTTTGTGTGTGCCTTTGTTATTATGATTTGAGTAAATCCGTAAATGATATTTCATCGGGGTCGTATACCGTAAGTTTTTAACACTAAAGAAAAAATAAATATTATTTGCCAGGTCTTATTACCCTTACTAATTTTACTTAGTGAGAATAAAAAATTGTTCTTACGGTATAATACTATCTGGTTTAGTGACTCTGTAAATGTGACCTAAAAATTTCTCCAACGAAAAGTATATTCCGTTTATCAAAACCTCATTGGGTAATATTTCTATAGCTGGTATCAGCGGTCCCGTGAACCATGCTACGAGAACGTGAGGATTCTGGTCTGCTTCTAGAACGTGGCTCATATATGAGATCCATGATCTTCCTTTCTAAGATCAAAAAGAAATATAGTTTATTATTGTCAGTTTTCAAGTATACACTAATAACGCAAAAAAAAACTTACAAACATATGAATTTATGGTACTAAAACTTGACTCTATTTAAATTAAGAAAGAAGTAAATAGACAAAGCATTCAAATGCGGTACTTTGAGTCTCGATTAAGGTTTGCTTAACTAATTAGACGATTAGACTGTGATTACACTTTATAAAATAAATCAATATATGTACAGTCTAATCGCCTGATCAGCTAATCAAACTTTAACGGAGACTAAAGTATCGGGCCTTAAAATGACATATAATTTAATGTGGGTCTCTAACGTTCGCCATGTACTCCAGTTGAATTAGTTTGAAAGTGAAAGAATTATTATTGCACTTTATGACGGGTATGTAGAATGATAATATCAAAAAAGTAACTCGAAAGAAGTGCTAAGTTGGCAAATTGCAAATAAGTGGAAAATTTACGTTTTTCACGTTTTTTACTGTCCACGAAAATCTAGACGACCTATCGGGAAATTAGTCATTTTATGTTATAGGCAGTGGCGGTTTTACCATAAGAGCTACGGAGCTGCAGAACACATAAAATTTTATGTATTTAATCATATTAAATATCAACAAAATATTTAAAGAATCCAAATGTACTCGCGCTAAAATAAATCTAGGAGTTTATATTATTATTTATTACGACGCGAGCTACGCTCCTTAATATATGCAACTTCATATACAAAATGTGTGCACAGCGAACAGTTAGATGCGTCCTTTGTTTTTATTGGTTAATCAGGCTCGTGACGTCGTGACCCACGTCACTTTATATGGGCTTTTGTGGCTGCAAACAACGACAGCCACTGCTGCAGTAAATGCGGTAATATTTCGTACGTGGTATGTGGTGGTTTATTTCTGTGAGCGGCACGTGTGAATATTTTCGTTTGGGCGTCTACGGATATTATAGTTATTAAAATGAATAGTGTTTCGTTTTTACAAAAAACTTTATTTGGTCCTCTGCGTTATGAGGATAAACTAAAAATAAAAGAATTAGGTGGGCCAACACCACAATTAAATATTGAAGTTAGTGGAACAAACCGAAGTAAGTTATAAAAGACAATTTAACAATAATAATAATAATAACAATAGTATACACAAAAGCAGAGTGGGTTGCGGGTGTGATATAAAAAATACACTGTTTTGTTTTCCGTTCTTACTTTTCGGTGGGGATAAAGCATGGACAATATACAGTGTGAAAGATTTAAGTCATTTAAATCATTAGGTAAAATAAACATAAGAAGTCAGTTAGATTCTGCATATTGGGATAATATACGGAAACACAATGAACAGGTAACGAAAAATTGTTATGTATTATCTAATATCATAGATTGCAAAAAATTTTGCGGAGCTTTCGAATTAGAACTTCGCGGACATGATGAGACAGAAAATTTGGACAACCCTGATGTGTTTCGTGGACTCATAAATTTACTGCAGATCTTGACGACATATTAAAAGAACATCTAGCCACATGGGTATGACCGGGATTTTCTGTGATTGTACCGGGAATTAGGTGTATGGTCCCGTATTTCGGATTTGCACGTATAACTCCCGGAATATATGTACGTATATATAAAAAAAGATAAAGAAAAAATCATAACATGGCGAGGAAAATTAAGATTCGTTGATCGTTGGTAAACTTCACAAACGATTTTTTTGTTTTTAAACAAAATTCAATAATTTAATAAAATATATTTAGTTTATTCCAATTTATTTATACCGTCAGTAGGTAATTCGTGAATAGATATTTCAAAAATCGTTGTGAAAATCTGTATTTTTGTATAAATGGATTGTTCCTTGAAATTCAGAAGTGCCAGGAAAACGCGTGACCTTGAAAATTTTAAAATTTTTCGCCCTCGGCGCCATTTAGAGGCTCTCCGGGCACTTAATATCCTGGAATTCAATTCAACAAATGTAACAACCCTAAGCAGAACACATTCAATCAATGTTCACGCGCCGCCACTGGTTATAGGCAATTAAAATACCTACAATTTAGGGTATCTAAAGTCATATTTCACCAATTTGTAAACTGTAAAATAAAGGTTGAACGCGGAAAAATCAGTTTTCGAAAATTGCCTATTATTATTACAACAAAAAGCGATGGATGTCGATGACCGTGAAATTGTTGCTCTAGATATTTGTTAATTAATTTCGTTCGTATTTTTGCAACTACGTATTTATTTTATTGTTTAATTACTAAACGTTAATTTTAGAAGTTAATATCGTAGATATAGGTTCTAATTGATCCAAAAAACGGATCGAAAAAGAAAAATTTCAAAAAGTTAAAATTAAGTAGCCCTTTACAACTAACAAAGTAGGACGTGCAATACAGCGTTACAAACAAATTGTCCCATGTTCAGGCAAGAGTCGCTCGGGAATTCGCTGTTTTTGCATTAAATAGAGCTTATTTTTTCGGTAATTTTAAAAAAAAAAGAAATCGCCTACACCTCTTTGTTCCCAAGATAGCTTTTTTATAACGTTAATTTATTAATTAACTATTGGACACGTATTAGACTGGGATGTTAGAGACAATTAAAGAAAAGAAAGGGAAAGGGAGAAACTTTTATTTTCAGAAAGTTTTACATTGATAGTTCATGTAATAAACGCGCTAGCACTAGTAAAAGTTAACGTTAATGAAGGGCCTGCATGCGGGAGTATGAGCGCCGGGCCCGTACATGCGTCGCTTTCGTCGCGCTCGAGATTTTTGACTTGAACGTTTCAAATTCGGTTCAAAAACTTAACTTGTTGAAATTTTTCTTTTTCAATACGTTTCTTTGGATCAATTAGAACCTTTACCTGCGTCATTAACTTCTAAAATTGAAACTAAACAATTAGTTGCAAAAAACAAACGAAATTAATTAATAAATAGATGTAGCACCAATTTCAGTCAATTGAATCGGCGTTTGGCACACATGTTCGTCGTTGGATTGACCATCTTTTCCATAAATTTCATCAACATCCATCGATTTTGCAATAATAATACGCAATTTTCGGGGAATGAATTCTCGGGGAATGATTTTCCGTGTTCAATTTTTATTTTACAGTTAACAAATTGGTTGGTTAACTTTAGATATCTTAAATTATAGATAATGTATTGCCTACATCATAAAATGACTAATTTTCCGATAGGTCATCTAGATTTTCGTGAACAGTAAAAAAGTGAAAGAACACGTAAATTTGCCACTTAATTGCAATTTGCCAACTTGGCGTTACTTGTTTTGAATTACTTTTTTGACATTATAATTCTACATACCATTCCCTGTCATAAAGTACAATAGAATATCTACTAATAATTTTTTCAAGTTATCAGGTTTTTATGATTTAATTCGACTAGCGAAAGGCGAAATAAAGTTGCTCTAGCTTTGCATAGACGATATTCAACTTTCTTATTTTTTTACGGCGCCATATGCTGCAGCGAGCAATATAGACCTTTTCTAGCAATATGATAGTGAAAAAATAAGAAGCTGTTCCATTTATTGCCAATCTGTTATGAATTATATCATATTCTAGACTAGACTAAAGGAGACTTCAAATGTTATTTGTCTTTAAGATCTTGAATGGACGGGGTTATAAGTATGTCGAAAATCAATGTTGATAAAAGGCGAACGAACATTTTGAGTGACTACAAAACTATTATTACCGACACATACTGTATACTACTTTCAACTTCTAGGAATATTAAGTCAATTACTTAGTAACTTCCTAGGCCTAAGGGTAATACAAAAAAAGTATATCGTTGTAGGATGTACATGTTTCCAGAAAAATTACTCTTTACTCCATGGACTTTACTAACTGAAAATGACAGAAGTAAATTTAAAAATGTAACAAGAAAATGTATTTTACTATGGATTTAACATAATTCGACAACATAAATTTTATTTGTTATAAGATATCAAAACAACTTTATTAATTTTTGACATAATTTCTATAATCTGTACAGTTTAAATGAATTGACCGTCGTGATTGTATTTCCTATATGGAGAATGTAGATATAATTGTTTAGCATCAGCATGGCGATATGCTGAAAAGTTTCCTGGTAAACAAGTTGACGTCCCAATAATTTTGCTGTAGTTGATCGAAAGATTCCATAAAAAGGTATCCTAAATTTAATGTTTTTTTTTTAGCTCATACCAGAGAATATTTTCGTCCACGGTGTGTAAAGATTAAGGATAAGGAAAAAAACTGTTTTAAATACCGTTGAAGTGAAGAAATCCACACACAATTAATTGTAGAAGAAGAATTGCTGCTGAATTCGATGTTTCAAATTCTACAAAACTTTAAGAGAACAACAAGACGAAAAGAATGATTTCTACAACACAATTCTATTTTCTGAGTAGTCACGTTTTACAAAAAAATGGAGTAATTAATCATAATTTTCAATATCAATTTGCTATCACCATTTATTAGGATCTGTTGAGCTGACGCCAGATTTAAATGATATTCAGTATCTAAATTTCTTATAACATACTTTGCCAAATATATTAGAAGATGCGCGCTAGAACATTAGAAGAGACGTATTGTTTAGATATGATGATGTACAATCACATTATATGCAAACTATGGGACAGTTCCTTAGTAACTAGTTTGCTGAGCTATGTATTGGATACGAACTGTAAATTGGCCTGCCGGGCCACCCGACCTGAATATAATTATATTTTTGTTTCAGGACATTCATGAAAGGCAACGTTTACATTAGTACAAATTAACTAAGAACTATGTACATTTATAGTGAAAGTGTCAAATCTCGTTCGACAAGATATTGGAGTTTTGTTTAGGGCAAAACAATCATTCCTTCGACGTACAGCCTTGTGCATAGAAGAAAATGACGGACACTTTCAGCATTTGCCATAATATTTTGTTTATTTATTTAATTATATGTATACCTATTTTATTTGTTTGTGTTTGTTAATTTTTGCTGTCTGTATTTTTTTATTAAGTATTTAAACAGCTGTTCATTGCTAGATACAGGGTGTTCCTAAATAAGTGTCGCAACGGAAAACTGTAAATTCCTCTTGAAAAAAGAAACAATCTTTTCCTCTTCCATTTTTCTCTTCGGGCTTTCGTTTTCGAGACACACGGTGTCACAACTTTTTTTTTTAAATTTTTTTGCCAATATCTTAAGAACCGTTTGAACTACAGGACTGATTTTTTGTACATGTATTACCACTATTAATAGCTACTTTTTCACACCCTTCTCGAATTTATTGAACGTGCCAGTGGTAGAGATTTTAAGGTATCGTAAGGGTTTTCCCCCCCTAACTTTTACGCCACTGGAAAAATTGACATTTGACAGCAAATTCTGAAGCGCCAATGAATTTTACACAAAAAGAGTTCTCTTGGTTCATTGCTCTAAAGTCAATCGTTTTCAAGAAAAATGACTTTTTATGAACAAAAACAAACATTTTGCTAACGTTTCGAAAATCTTTTGTAAAACAAATGATAGATAGTAATAATTAACAATTTTAACGAAATTTAACAACATTTGCTACAAGTAGCTATTGATAGTGGTAATGTGTGTACAAAAGCTCAGTCCTGTAGTTCAAACGGTTCCTAAAATATTGGCAAAAATCTGAAAAAAGTTTTGACACCGTGTATCTCGAAAACGAAAGCCCGGAGAGAAAAATGGAAGAGGAAAACAATGTTTCTCTTTTCAAGAGGAATTTACACTTTTCCGTTGCGACACTTATTTAGGAACACCTTGTATACAGGGTGTCCCAGTGTCAACATACAAAAATTTATCAGGGGGTAGACCAGACCAAAATATTATATTAAAATTCTTATAAAATATTTTTCTGCAATGCACTCTCACTGAGTTACAGGGTGTTGTTTAGAAAAAAATTATAACAACTTTCCGCAATAACTCAAAAACCTTTTCAAGGATTTAAGTAATTTTCGCGTGAAGTGTACATTTATTAAAGGTCATTAAAACTACATGGTGGCTATTTCCATCTGACGCCAGGGGCGGCCTAGGCCAACTTGTCCTCAAGGTTATGTCTTCATAACTTTTGCATATCCTAGTTTTATGTATGTATCTTATTTTGGTCTGGTTTACCCCCCTGGTAATTTTTTGTGCGCTGACACTGGGACACCATGTATAATACATTTTTAAAAATTCGAAAAAACTAAAATTGCTAATAAATCGATTGATTTTTTTGTATTGTTTTTTAAACTTTAATAAATATTGGAATTAAAACATTGTAGGTACCTCTATAGACTTAAACTTACAAAGTAGGTGATTTTCGTATTGTTTTAATTTATTTTAAATAAATACGATTATTTACAATTTCGGTGTTTGATATCTGACACGGTGACAATTAAAATTTGTGTTCTCAAATTATACTGAATACAGTTTACGTTTAGACCAGGACGGATCTGTCGAAATATCCCACTTCTTGGATGTAAGAGGAGGCAAGCTTCAGTACAACTCACATAATAAAAGTGTAGATCCCTAGATCTGGGCGAGGTCCGGAACATTTTCAAAATTGCAAAAATGTTTAAAAATATTTTAAAAATACCTATTTTTTTATTTTTATTTTTACTTATATCTTGAAACCTATCCATTTTAGGAGAATATTTAAGAGGAAAAAAAGTTTTAGAATTGAATATACTGTAAGTTAAAAATGTTTAAATTTATCACCGATGTTGCAAAATAGCGATAATTGATGAAAAAGGCAAAATAATCAAGGATAATTTTGTTTAAATATTTTTATTGCTTCGAGGACATTCTAATTTTGGTAAAAAAAACTTTAGGGTATAGTAAAGCGGCACACCAAATTTCAATAAAAATCGGTTTTATAGTTTTTTGAAAAAAAAAATTCGAATTTGTAAAATGTTGCACAGCCTCAAATAAAGCATCTATATACTTTTTCACATAGAAAAGACCGCTCAACCTTTCAAATGGTTTTTGAAAAATTTAAATCGGTTGATTAGGACGGCCACAGTAAATTTTTAAAGTTAACACACTTTTTTTTATTTTTAAACAATTACATTTATCAATTTGCAATTTAAATTTTTTTCAAAAATTATTATTTTAAAGTACTCGGAAAGACGCTACTTTAAAAAATAATAAAATTCGATTATTGGTTCTCGAGATATAAGCGGTCAGTGTATCGCCACTTGCCGTTAATTTATAAGCAATTTAGCAATAATATTTGATCCAGTCGCTTTTCCGTGTTCTAAGCTGGAAAAAAATTTCATATCTATAAATTATCGGCAACGTAGATAAACCAGCGGAAAAACTGTCGCTCGCACGCGCAAAAAGTGACCCAAAACACGAAAAGTGGGGGAGGGCATTCGCTCCGAGACTGAATTCAGAGGTTCAAAAATTTACTGTGGTCGTCCTAATCAACCGATTTCAATTTTTGAAAAACCATTTGAAAGGTTGAGCGGTCTTTTCTATGTGAAAAAAAGTATCTAGATGCTTTATTTGAGGTTGTGCAACATTTGAAAATTCGAAAATTTTTTTCAAAAAATTATTTTACAATAACTATCTAACCGATTTTAATGAAATTTGGTGTTATTTTATTACTCTCTAAAGTTTATTTTACCAAAATTAGAATGCCTTCGGAGCAATTAAAATATTTAAAAAAAATTATCCAAAAAACTTGATTATTTTGCTTTTTTTTATCAGTTGCTATTTTATAATATCGGTAATAAATTTAAACATAAAATAAGTATTTTTTTAAATTTTTTGCAATTTTGAAAATGTTTCGGACCTCGCCCAAATCGGATGTATACTTTTATTATGTGAGTTGTTCTGAAGGTAATCCAGAAAAAATTTGCTTGCCCCTCTCACATCCACCTTAAAACAGATCCGCCCTGGTCTAGTTTTCAATAGGTATTAATATTTTTAAATTTAATTCTCGATTTTCAACTAGTAGATATACCATTTTTGTATTATTTGGGATTTGCAGACCATAAAATTTTTAAGAAATCTGGACTTTTTAAATATTTTTCTTTCAATTATTATACCCCTCAAGCTATCCGTATTCACACCACAGCCACTCGCAATAAAATGATTTGCATGTTTGTCTTAAGGTTTCTACTATTGATATTTATAGGCATATACATTTTGACATCATTTACCGATTTTTAATTAAAACTACTGTAACACCTGTATCTAGGAAACGCATCGTTATTGAGGAAATAGTTACGAACTATCCCGACTCTTTTTTCAAGTAGATGTCACCCCCCACCCCCAGTTTTGTTTAAGTATAAATGGACACCCTGTATATTATAGTGGGTTTACAAGAAACCAACTCCTATGGATATGTATCAATACCATCCGACAAGGAAACAATGAATTATCAATATTCAATATCCTAGTAAACAACAGAGCTCTTGGAATCACATCATCTGCGGTCAGTTTTCAAAGGAAACCATCAGGTGAAATATTCAACAAACCATCAATAGAAGAACAAGGAAAAGGAGAGAAACCGGCAGTTGTGAAACACATGACACGCGTCAGACCTAAAGACCTAAAGGAGGGTTGGTGAGGGAAATAATCTGTTGGCCAAAGTTCTACAGAGAAATCAAGAATAATCAAATTAAATTCTCCTTAAACGAAACCTATTTGGAAGCGAATATAAATTTAGTCACAGGCCACAAATGCATACAACAAATATAAATACCGTCCAAAGGAAAATCTCCAGATTCAGAATTTGTTCTGAAGAGAGCGAAATGGTTCTCGAAACATCAAAAAACCGAAACCAATAACGTGGAAATCAGCTCGGAAATTGTTGAAATCCAATTGATATGTCTTGATTACCAAACATTGAATATTTTGCAGAATTTCATCATTTTTTCATTCGAACACAACAAAACTATCACTTCAATTGGAAGTATTCGTCAGAAGTCATCACACTGACAATGTTCATTTTTAAAATTCAGTTTCATCGTGCAAAATCTATTTTTCTACGACTTAACATTACAGAAAAAAAATGAAAAATAATATTTTATAAAAATTACCCAGTTTGGTCCCTCAAGAAACTCCTGAACGGCCGCTTTACTATCTTCTTCACTCCAAAGTAAATTGAAACCAGTTAAATTCCCCCACCAAATATGCGGAAAGTGCATGTACACCTTCATTACCGCGCCAAATCCAATATTCCTTATGGCATCCAACTTTATCTGTGGCAGTCTAGGTGTGAATATTTCCTCGGCTCTCTCTTTCAGTACCCCAACAGATGGTGTAAAAATTACGCTATCTGCCTCATAGGTGGAACCATCTGAGCACCAGAGCTTAACAGATTTATTCATAGCACTTTGGTTCCATTGAATCTTTGACACGTCCTTATTGAGAAGAATCTTGTCATCTACAGGTAACTGTTTTTTTGGGTTAGGATATTTTTTCATTAGAACGTCTAAAAAGGTCTTATACCCTTTGCCATACCAATTTTGGAGCTTCTCCCCCTCACATTCCTGGTAATCTGCAACAGCTGCAATGTCATGCCAAGAAAACGATCCCTCTCCTCCTAAAACGTAGAATTCAAAAAAATGGACCATGGACAGAGCAAGTTCATGCTTGGTTGGGTCGTTTCCGAATTTCTCATTGACTATCTTGATATACCTAAGAATAGGATATTTTATTAATTAAAATTTTCCATTATTATAACAAATAGTCTTGTCTTATGTATGTTATTACAATATTGCATGATAAACATTGGATGCTGCAAAAATAACATTCATTTTAAATAATTTTTACTTGGTTATTTACTATTTTGATTGTTTTTATTTGAAAAATAAAACTTAATACCTACTACTGAAATTTTTTAAGTATGATGTACAAACTGTCTCAGCATCTCCAATAAAATATTCTTTATATTATGATACCTATGTATTCATCCAAAAATTCACAAATTTCTATCTTCAACCTTAATTGAGATGCTTTAGCGTGACATCGAAAATTGGATGCTCTACATGAAACATGAAGTTGAAATATTTTACAAAATTTATTTTAAGCCATTGAAAAAAATTGCGGTAGAATAACGTCGTGTTATTATATTCACAATAAAAAATGCTAATATAATTCGCGAAAAAAAAAATAGATTTATAATTTTAAGGAAGTGATAGTTTTAGGATCTACTACTAAGGTTCTTTCTGTCTTTCTTTCTCACATGAAGACATTTTACTGAAAAGTTATATTAACAATAGGTATTTAGAATAGCCCAAATGCTGCAAATAAAATATAGCGTATGTGAATTGTGAAATATTTTAGAAACAGCATTTAAATTCAATTATACTGCGAATCTAATGATCAGAAAAAGTTCTAAATTTTATAGACTAAATTACTAAAGACTGGTTAATTATTGCTCTAAGTTCTTCGCTCTCACTCTCAAAACTGACTGATAAAAGTAATAATGTGTGCTATTAAAATGTGACTATAATTTTTAGTAACGTTTTGGGGAAATAGTGGACAAAGAAGTAATTTGCAATTGAAGAATGATAAAAAATAATTAACTTAATTAAGTACTGTCCTCGTAGTGTTCGCGTACTCTTTTTCCACCGATTTTCATTAATTATATTTTTGTAAATAGACTTTATTTTAGGTTTTTGACACATTGCAGCTCATTAGTTTTTTTTCCAATTTCTATAAATGTCCACAAAAATTCAAATAATCGATATTTCTGTTTTCCATGACTTCCCATTAATTCAAATGGTTTACATTTTTGTGACAATAACATTGCATAATATTTTTAACCATTTTTACTTCCAAATAATGCAACCTACTGGCATTATAGAAGAGTAGGTACCTTTTTACCACACACGAAATAGTTTGAGCAAACTTCATCCACAAGCATAATTTTATCTTAAAAAATTTTGGAGATATGTGAAAAAGCTTTCAAATACTCTTTTATCTACTCCACCTTTGTAACTTATAACTATATTATCCTAATGTTTCTACAGCACATATTACCGTTTTTTTAAATAAAAATAACAATTGGTTATATTTATTGCGACAGCATTTTCTTTTATTTCGTTTTATTTTAGATTATTTTATCATGTTTTTAAATAAACTTATTATTTTCAACTTACTCTTCTTCGCAGTACTCCCCAAGGTTCGTGTAATTTATCTTCTTATCGTCATGCCCTTCATAAATATCTTCTACGATTTTAAAAAAATCGTCAACAAACTTCTGATCTACAAATTTTCTTGAAGAATGATACAATTTCTTAGAAAATTCGTTGCGCCCTAACAAATTCATATCCTTCACCATATCATACACTATGTTGTTTACCTGTCCATGACACCATCGTGCTCCTAAATCAACATAGGCGTCAAAAAATTTTACACTGTTTATTCTCCCTCCAATCCTGGGTTCTGCTTCCAAAATTAAAATATTGTGAAAACCATTAGACAGCAATTTTGTGGCTGCTGCAATTCCTGCAGGACCAGCTCCAACTATTATTACTGACGAGGAATTATTTTTTAATGCTAATATGAGATATGTATAGTGAAATCCTAGAGCAAGGACTAAAACTGCCCTCATGGTTAACACTGTTATTAAATCTGTGAATACAAATCTTGCATTCTCAATTGGTTAGGCTATTATATAGTTTATGTAACAATTGTACTTACAATGATGTCAAAGGTTACCACTTGGGCTACCACTATCTAGTATTTATATGGTTTACAGGACGTCCCAGTTTTATTCTAAAAATGTAAAAATATATCGAGTTTATTCAAATATTTCTAAAAGTAGTTACATTGATGAAACTGTAGTAATAATAAATAACTAATTAAAGGCAGATGCTTTTTATTACAAGCAGAAGGCAGATGATTTTATTTTATTAAAGACATTTATTTTATTAAAGGCAGAAAGGTTTATTACTAAAGGCAGATGTATTAAAGGCAGAAGCATTTTATTAACGGAAGGTGCTTTTTATCTTAAAAATTATACCACAAATTACACTTAATTTCCAAATTACTCAAATTTTTAACAAATATCAAAAATATTAAATTTTTACGCCAAGTTTTTTTACACTATTGATGGTTTTTGATGACTTCTTTAATTATGAAAATCTTATTTTAAATAAAAAATATCCTAAAATCTTTTTTTTCTTAAAAATCTTACTAGTAATTAATTCACTTATACAGTGTGTTCCTAAATAAGTGTCGCAACGGAAAACTGTAAATTTCTCTTGAAAAGAGAAACATTTTTTTCCTCTTCCATTTATTCTCCAGGCTTTCGTTTTCGAGATACACGGTGTAAAAACTATTTTTCAGATTTTTGCCAATACCTTAGGAACCGTTTGAACTACAGGACTGAGCTTGTGTACACACATTACCACTATTAATAGCTACTTATTGCAAATGTTGCTAAATTTCGTTAAACTTGTTAATATTATTACTATCTATCTTTTGAATTACAAAAGATTTTTGAAACGTTAGCAAAATGTTTGTTTTTGTTCATAAAAAGTCATTTTTCTTGAAAACGGTTGACTTTCGAGCAATGAACCAAGAGAACTCTTTTTGTGTAAAATTCATTGGCGCTTCAGAATTTGCTGTCAAATGTTAATTTTTCCAGTGGCGTAAAAGTTAGGGGGGAAAACCCTTACGATACCTTAAAATCTTCACCACTGGCACGTTCAATGAATTCGAGAAGGGTGCGAAAAAGTAGCATTAATAGTGGTAATGCGTGTACAAAAACTCAGTCCTGTAGTTCAAACGGTTCCTAAAATATTGGCAAAAAATTTTAAAAAAAAATTAAAGTTTTGACTCCGTGAATCTCAAAAACGAGAGCCCGGAGAAAAAAATGAACGAGGAAAAGAATGTTTCTTTCTTCAAGAGGAATTTACAGTATTCCGTTGCGACACTTATTTAGGAACACCCTGTATAATAGTCCAAGAGCCAGCGGCAAAAAAATTGTTTGAATTTACTAAGCCTACTTTTTTGATAGTTGATTTACATATACAGTAGTTGTGTACACAAACACACTGCGATCAGTCAAGCCAAACTTAGAACAGGGGTCTCAGGTACACTATCAAAGTTATCGTACCTACCGAGTAATGAAATGAATTTACTAAAGCTGAAAATCGTTATACAAATTCTATATTCCATATAAATAAAAGTTATGTTACTTAGTCAGTCAGCTGAATGTGGGGACAGAGCTTGTCAGTCAGCCCCAACGCATGTATGTACAAAAAATAAATAATGTGCAATTCGTTTACTATACTTTAAAACTTTTGAGAGGGTATTAATTGTTATATTAACCATAAAAAAAAATGGTCAGTAAACAATTTTGTGGGACAACGCCCGTCAGTCAGATAGTTTTATTATTTTTAATGGATCTGTTTTCCCCGAAAAAAAAAAAATCAGAATGCAACTAAGACACCTTATATAATGTTATTAAGTAATCAATCTCGGGGCAAAGATTAGATATACATATTTATTTACTAGTATTAAAAATGTAAGATATTAGAACCGAATCTGAGGAATTTACAGTCTTGGTTAAAGTAGACCTCGTGGGAAATTGTTAATAGAGAGAATTTTCGAGGCATTTTAAAAAAGTTTCTCCTTTTTATTGTAATGAAATTTTGATATCTGTAAAAACTTTATCACAACAATTTTTTTTAAACAATTTCACTGTGAATTCAGACTCAGATTTTTGTTCAACGTTACGGTCTCGAAACCATTCTCATTTCTGTTGATTTTTTTTGTAAGTACCGTCAAAGAGCTTAAAACGCTGTTTTCGTTCATTATACAATTCAAGATGAAAGGTAAGAAAAAAAGTATAAAGGAAATGATGGTTTAGACCCGAAGTCCCCAAAATTGTTTGTCTCGTAAACCAGACGCCAATTTTTTGTGTATTGGATAGACCACCCCGCCTTTCTAATATTGAATTGTTACAAATTCATCAACTTCAAATGTGTTTCTAACAGCTCACGCAGTGCAAGTTTTTCCGAGATACAAGTGTTACGACCACAAAGCGAATGACCCACTTGCACAATTTTATGAAATATACTTAATTAATATGTAATTGAGTGTAGTAAATAAAATAATCGCTTACTATGAAACAGTTTGATATATAAGAAATATAATAACTTAAATATCAATAACAATAAATTATAACAATAATTTTATAAGTAAACCGAAATAGATTGATTGAATTCAAGAGAATATTCTAACAATTAGCATTAATTACTATTCGAAGCAATTAAGTAATTGGTTTATGGTTTGACCCGTCGACGGAGAATAACCACATCATCGATCTCGAATTTTTCCATGATTAAAGCATGGAGCTTTAAAGTTTCCCAAATCTAGTTCCAAATCTTCATCATGTTTCATAAACATTTATGTTTTAAAAATGTTTACTTCACATGTAATTTATATGTCTATTACAAGAAAGTATTACGTTCTTAAAGTACTATTTGTGTTATGTGAATTACTCTATTTATGGAAAGCCAAAATTTTGGTCACGACCTGCTTAAATGGGATTCATTCTCGAGGACCCCCATTTATATCTCATGCACCCTCAATATTGATTTTTGCTGACATGGACTCCTTACTCCTTGCATTTCGGAGTCGACCCCTAGGGGTCGATATAGACCACTTTGGGAATCATTGGTTTAGAAAGTCCACGGTGAAAAAGTTGCTCTGATGAAGTTTTTATAGAATTCAAAAATTTCGTACATAAAAAAGTTGGTTCGTTTTTCTAAAATAGAAAACTCGAACAGTTAAGAGTCGCTTTGAATGTGTCATTCGGTTAGTAACAAGTCTTTCTATTTCTGTTTATCTGTCACTTATAATATTTGTTCCTAGAGCAATCCAAAACAGTTTGCACATTTCTGAACAGTCTAGAACATCAAGTATAAATATAATATACAGTGTAATTTTTTTAAAACCTGACAGGCCAACTTTTTTATTTGAAATGCTAGACTAGTATTTTCAAATACAAAGTTATAGGAAATAACATGACTAAGAAAAGAAAACTTTACAAGTAATGTTTTCCGGTGTTGCCAGACTTCTTGAGTAGCTAATAAAATAATGTTTTTTTTTTAATAGCAACACTGTATTTTTTAACACAATGTGACAAATCTTCAAATTCTAAATAAAAAATGTCACATTTTTTTATTAGAGTAGCCGGTTTAGAACAATCAGCAAAAAGAACGAAAATAATCTGCAGTCGGCAGGACCTAAACGTAGCAATAGTACCTTGGATATTAAACAAAAATTGTGTTGTTTGAAAGGAACTATCATTATTGTGCTGTCATTGAGTAATTTGAATGCTGTTTTATTTGAATGTGTATAAAAATAACGTTTTAATTCAGTTGCTAATATGATTTTCAACCTTTTGTAGATTCTTGGGTATACACTACCAGTTGTTTTTAGTTTCAATAAGGATTTGGAAAAGGCTTATTGGGATGTTTTGTGTAGCATTCAGCGCACGCATTGCGATTACTTAAACTGAAGAAAAATTAATTCAACTTTATCTTTCGGATTAAATACTATTCATCTTTGCAACTGAATTAAAACGATACTTTTATATTCAAATTCAACACCTTTCAAATAACACAATGACGACTCCTTTCAAACAACACAATTTTATTAAATTCCGAGGCCTACTATTGCTATGTTAGCTTTTTTAAATTCCTGCCGACTGCAGATTATTTTCGTTGTTTTTGCTTATTGTTCTAAAATGGCTAGGTACTTCAAAAAAGAAATGTAACATAACATTTTTTATTTAGAAATTTAAGATTTGTCAAATTATGTTAAAAAAATACAGTGTTGCCATTTAAAGAAATATTGTTTTAGTAGCTACTAAAGAAATCTGGCAACACCGGAAAAAATTATTTGTAAGTTTTCTTAGTCAAGTTATTTATTACAAATTGGCATTTGGAAGTAGGTACTAGTCTATCACTTCAAATAAAAAAGTTATGCCTATGTCAGGTTTTAAAAAAATTACACTGTATATAAATGTACGGCAATAAAAATAGGGGGTGATTCTACTCATAAAATAATTATAGTTTCTACGACCATATTTCAAAAACTATATTTTAACGTTACATAACCTCAAATTTGGTATTTTAAAATTAATATTTAGCCATAATTTTTATTTTCAGTAAAGCGATTTTTTCCAAATTTGGTAGATATATTTTTTTTATAAAAACTAAACCTACGAAATAAAAATTATCAGAATTCTAAAGTTCGTATTTGCAAGAAAATTTTTGTTTGCAATTTTCCAAAAAAAAAAATCATTAAACAATCTTACAAGTAGGTTCACTTGTTCCAAGTGAGCAACTTTAACCATTTTAAGAAGTTTTTCTTTAAAATCCCGGAAAATTATTTTATATTTAAATATATATAAATTAATCATTGTAATTAAAGATGACTTCACAATACAATGTGTACAAAAAACGTTCTACTTTCAAATCTTACCTTATCTGTACCTACTGCAAAATAGGTAAATTTTAACTATGTAGTTTTAAATGTACCGTAAACATTAAATACCTGTTTTTCTTGGAACGGGAGGACGTTTTCCTATATATTTTAATGATCTTTAAACAGAATAGTTTGATTTTT